CTGTATTTGATGAACAAGTAAATAAATGTCTCCACCTTTTTAATCTTTAAAATAAAGAATATGAGCTGTATGAACTTTAAGCTTTTTCTAGCTTTGAGTCTATTATAAAAATTTCAATTCCAGGGCATATGGTACATACAAATTCTAGCATGACAGAATTAATATATTTAAATATAATAATATAGCACCTTTATCTATTTTTATTAGTTTGTACAGAATTGTACTCCTATTTTAGATAAAAACTTATGGTAACATTTGTCTTTAAAAAGCTTGTATTTGCCCATCTTTGAAGACTTTATATTAAAAAAATTCAAGTTTCTTCCTTAACTACATTTGTATTACACATTTATAGAAATGTGCTGGATTTCAATATGTTTTATTTAACATATAAATTTGAAGCACAGATGTGCTTCATTTTTTAAAAAAATTATCTTTTTCACTGAATCTTGTGGTGTAATACATACAATAAACAGCTTTCTTTTGCTAATATGCATCTCGTTTGACTGTTAAAATTGTTTAGTGCTTTTGTCATTTTTTTCTCTATCCTCGCCTGAACTCCTTCCAAGAAAAGCATAATGCTAAGCATCAAGATGACAGGTTTTATAAGTACTTATCAAATTAGATTGGGAAAATGTCAAGTGGAATTATTACCCTACCTTGTAACGCTGTATTCCCTTAAGCTAAAATCAGTTGATGTTAATAGATTCTAGGTTCACTGAGGCGAAAATTTTAAAGATGTAATCATTTAAAATCGTTTTGCCTGTGGTAGAGCTAACTGTGTTTAAACTTGTTTTCCTAGCATCTCTTCGCTGGATGTCATCTAACAAATTCCCTGGATCATCTGGATCAAATATGATCTATTATCTGGTTGTAGGTGTCACAGTCAGTGCTGGTGGATATTATGTAAGTGTTTAACTAACTCTGTTCAGGAATTCATATATTTTACAACCTGTGATAAAACTCAAAGCAATGTCAAGGCTAGGACATGGGATTAACTAAATATATAAGATTATGGGAAAAAAATTTAAGTACAAAATACTGACTACCACTAAGTATGAATGAACTAGTAAAAACAATGTTGTTATAAATACTAATAGTACAAATAGCTGACATTTGAATGTTTACCATATGACAGAATCATCCTTATTTAATAATTACAACAATTCTATAAGGTAGGTATTATTATAAACATTTAACAAGAACTATTTTGAGAGATTAACTTTAAAAAAATTAATAGACTTAATTTTTTAGAGCAGTTTTAGGTTTACAGAAAAATAAGCAGAAAGTACAGAGAATTCCCATACACCTCCTCTCACCCCTCTGCCCCCTTTTCCATACAATCTTGCTTTAGTGACGTACATCTGTTATAACTGAGTCAATATTGATACATTATTATTAACCAAAGTCTATAGTTTGCATGAGGGGTCACTCTTTGTGTTGTACTTTATGTGGGTTTTGACAAATATATGACATGTATCCATCATTACAGTAGCAAGCATAATAGTTTCACTGCCCTAAAAATACCCTGTGCTCCAAGTATTCATCCTTCCCTCCCTCCTCCTAATCTTTTTACTATCTCCATAGGATTTTGTTTGTTTTGGTTTTTTTTTTGAAGTTTTCAATTTCTTTTTAAATAATTAAAAAAAATTTTTTTAATGGAGGTACTGGGGATTGAACCCTGGACTTTGTGCATGCTAAGCGTGTGCTCTCCCACTGAGCTATACCCACCCCCTCCATGGTTTTTATTAGCTTTATATCTTTATATACTTTTATTTTTTTAAGTAGTATTTATCTATAATTCTTTTAATTCAAAAGTCATATAAAATTAAGACTATAAAACAAAGCTTTAATAGTATGATTTTTGAAACTAAAAAAGTGAAACATTTGTGAGTTAATAAGATAAACCTATTTAATCATTCATCATTTTGTCATAAACTTTTTTTAACATTTTTTATTGATTTATAATCATTTTACAATGTTGTAAACTTTCTAAGTGGAAATCTAATCTTTATTATGAATAAAAGTAGAATAAATATAAATTCTTCAGAAACCATAAGACTACACAATCACTACATTTTGTTTTGGCCCTACAGAAATATGCATAAAGGGATTTTTAGTCATAACTGGCAGTTTGTAGGTCTATGTAGATGCCGAAACCAAAATACATATTCTAATCTTCAGAAATTTGAAAGCCTTGAGAAGCCAGGAAATGTCAAACATGTCACTTATATTATTGCCCTACCCTAATCTACCAGCTTTCACTCATACCCAGATTCCTCTGCTTCTGACATCTTTCTACTGCTTAAAATTGAATTCACTGCCCAGGGCTACTATCATTGGATACAGGCCACTGGAAAAACAGATTAAACTAGGCCATGTGATTATGCAGGAAGCTGGAAGACTGAATTTCATCTGGACATCACTACACTGCTTTCAGGAGGAAATACAGAATGTGAGGCACTCAAAAACCCATATTCTGGCCCTCCCCTTCCCCTCCATGTCCTGCACTAAAATAAATTCGATATTAGATTTCTCTGAATTAAATCCACAGATGCTTCATACCCAAGAGCCCGTTTTTATTTCCAAGTAAAATCTACTACTAGAGCCTCTTTGAATCTGAGAAAGGCCCAGGTCACTTCAGTATTTTGAGGGTCTGGATATCTTAAAAGACAAAATGCCAGACTGGTTTCTAAAAGTTGTGGTATATTTTAGATGCTAACATTAATAAATAAATATCATTTAGAAATAACTTCTAGCTCAAGTGGAGTGCATGCTTAGCATACATAAGGTCCTCGGTTCAATCTCCAGTACCACCTCTAAAAAATAAATAAACCTAATTACCCTTCCCACCAAAAAAAATAATAACTTTCAAAGTCTAAATTTGAGACCCTCTCTTCTAATAGAACTTTCTTCTACTCTGTGCTCGACTATGTTCAATTTGGAAAAGCTAGATCCTCTGGGTTACATGTTACTATGAATTATTCTTGTATTTCACCTCTTTGGTTCTGCTTTAGCAGCTGAATTGTGTTTTAGCCCCTTGAACAGTAAGACTAATGTCCTTGGGATGTTGCGGCTGGATGGTCATTTCAAGGACAGGAATTTGGGCAGAGGTTCAGTTTTACTGTACTGAGAACTGAGGGTGCTGACTCAGCCTCCTGGCCCTGTAAGCTGTCAGGAGCTCCCACCCCATTAGGAAAATATTCCTGCTTTTATACAAAAATGTTGACTGTCATCCCTGCTGATCCTGTTTGTTCTGTGAGTTTCATAGCCAGATGATTCAAGTCTGAATTCACCAAACACCGTGGGTTTGTTAAAGGGCCACTTTTGCATCATTTCCATCCCCAAGGTTATGGATTTTCCAGTTTCATAGCCTAATTTTAACATACTATAAAATAGTTTGTAATTTGCATAGGATAATTTTTTTTTTGAGGGGAGGAGGTAGTTAGGTTTATTTATTTATTTTTGATGGAGGTACTGGGGATTGAACCCAGAACCTCATGCATGCTAAGCATGTGCTCTGCCACTGAGCTGTATCCTCTCCCTGCATAGGATGATTTTTAATGTTGTGCTTGGTTCATGATTATTAAAAATTGAGAAAATACTACATATAAATATACAATTTTTTTGAATCTATATTCCTAAAAGATAAATCACTACCAACACTTTCTTAAGCTGAGATAATACAGACAATATCATCTAATTAGTGAGATTTTCTTTTTTCTTTTAAAGTGAAAGCAAGTTTATTCAGAGAGAGACACACACCATAGACAGAGTGTGGGCTGTCTCACTCAGAAGGGAGAGCAGCTTAGGAGATACACACTCCATAGGCAGAATGTGAGCCACCTCAAAAGGTGAGAGAGAGAGGCTGTGAGATGTGGGGTGTTTAGTTTAAAATGAAAGGAGATACACACTCCATAGACAGAGTGAGGGCTGTCTCAGAAGGCAAGAGAGAGAGTGACCGAGATTTTCATTTTGAAACTCTCATTGGCATATAGCAATACAGGCCAGAGATGACTACTTGAATATGAAATTAAAGCCTGCACATTGTCTCTATGATAAAGACAGCTTTATTCCCAATTCTGTTTCTTAAGTAAAACCCGCAGGCAGGACATATTGCTGCTTTTAGTGACTAACCCTAGCTTACTTAAGGGATCTTCATTAGGGTCTACAAATCTGTCAGTTTGGAAGACTTTTTGAAAACTTTTTATTGTGAGAGAATTGAGTTTCACATACAGTTATAAGAACCAATACGGAGAGAGCTTGTATACCTTTCGCCTCATTTCCCCCAGTGATAACATCTTTTCTAACTATAATGCAGTATCACAACCAGGAAATTGACATTGATGACATCCATAGACCTTATTCAGATTTCACCAGCTTTACATACACGTGTGTATGTGAGTACGCGCACTCACATGCATGTACATAGTCCTAAGCAGTTTTACCACATGTGTAGATTCATGTATTCACCACCACAGTCAAGAGACAGGACAGTTCCATCACCACAAGGGTCCCTTGTGTTGTTCTTTTGTGCCTGTACTCACTTCCCTCCTGCCCTCCCCTCCCTCCTACTTCCTGGCAACCACTAATCTGTTCTCTATTTCTGTATTTCTTGTCATTTCAAGAATGTTACCCCCCTAAAAATAATGTTACATAAATGGAATCCTAAGGTATGTAACCTTTTGAAGTTGGCTTTTTTTCACACTGCGTAATTTACCTGGAGATTCATCCAAATTGTTTCTTGTATCTATGGTTTATTCTTTTTATGGCTGAGGAGTCTTCTTTGTTATGGATGCACCACAGTTTGTGTAACCAGTCACCTGCTGGAGGACATCTGGGCTGATTCCAGTTTTTGGCTATTACAAATCAAGCTACAGTGAACATTTGTGTACAGGTTTTTGTGCGCACATAAATTTCCTTTTCTCTGAGTTAAATGCTGGAGGGTATTTGTAAATTGATTCTAGCATAATTTTTTTCTTCCTTGTCTTTCTGTCTACTTTGTGTTTTCAGTTATCTTTGACTTCTCTTAGAGCATTTGTGTCTTTCCTTTTTTAAGCATTCTACTTAATGACAAAGATTTCCAAAGGGGAAATAAAAGAGTAGGTGGTGTGTATTGGTTTCTCTTCTTTGAACTGTATATACCTTTAAATTTGGCATGATGAGTCTTATAGCTCAAGAAATAAACTTAATCATACATTTACTTTCAGACTTACAAGGCAGTCACATCAGAGCAAGCCAAACCCAGCGAACATATTACAAATTTGAAAGAAAAAACCAAAGCAGAGTTACATCCACTTCAAGGTAAAGTGAGTTTACTATATTATTTTCCCTTGAGGTACTGATTTTCATCATCTGTGTCTAGCAATGAACACTATTTGCTTTTGGCTTCTTTACTAACTAGTCCAGAATGGCACTGGGTAAGAGTCTGTTCAAAAAGGAAAAGTCCAACCAAAGCCTAAAGAATACTGTTAGACATTTTGGATGAGTGCATTTGATAAATGAAAACGTTGTACATTTGTACTGCTGACCAGCAGCTTTGACTTCTTTGTGTGGTGATATTACTTTTCCCTGCTCAGGCTTCCATTCATGCAGGCCTAATTTTAGTATCTGTCTCTCTCAGCAGCTTGACCTTTCATTTCCCTCAGTGTTTTTTAAGTCATAAAACTAATTTTGTTTCCATTTTGGCTAAGACCACCTGTGTAGTGACACTAGTAGATTTGGTCATGTCTGCTGAGTCCCTCAGTTGATCTGACTGATAAAATGGCAACTTATGGGAACAGAAACTTTACCTTTTCACTCTAATGTATATTTCTTCCCTTAAACTGCTTGCTTTAAACCATGATTTTTCCATCTCAACTATAATGCCATTATTATCAAATACTATGATCACTATTAAGGGACAGAGGAAATAGCTGCTCATGGACCAGTTTTAACCTTTTAGTCATTTAACCTTTAGACAACAATAAGAAACAGTATATCATCAATAAACATTATTGAATATAATCATGAGAATGTTAATCGTAATAATAATAAAATACAGCATTT